CCAGTGGTTCCCAAGTATTATCGCTGTGGTCGTAATCTAACCATTTAACGAGATACTGGGTTTTGTTATACCTGACTCTCGAATCCAGGATGTCCTCCACGTCCCATTCCTCTTCTCCATCTATGATGACTGGGGGATTAGGGGGAGGTACACGTCCAGGGATAGAGTCTTGATGGAACATTATGAGCTTGGAAGCATGAAACACCAGATGCAGCTTCATGTCCGCTGGTAGTTGCAGTTTGAATGATACAGTTCTGACCTTTTCAAGGATTTTGAATGGTCCATAGTTCTGTGTCGCAAGCTTCTGGCTTTTGACATTTACATGGAGATCTTTTCCTCGAATAAGCACTTCGTCTCCTACTTTGAAAGGGATGTTTTGCTTTTTAAGATCGAAATACCATTTCATTCTTTCTGCTGCTAACGACAGAGCGGCATGGGCTTGTTCCTGTGCTTGATCGCGGTTATGGAATAGGTGTTCCAGGGATAAATGTTGTATTTCTTCCAGTACGTTTGGTGCCATTCGGGGGTGTCGACCATGCTCGATGAAAAATGGGGACAGACCTGTCGATTCTGAAGCTTGGTTGTTATATGCAAATTCCGCTGTGGGCAATAGTGTGGCCCAATCAGTTTGTCGGTAATTGCAGTACATACACAGATATTGCTCCAGAATTTGATTGACTCGATCAGTCTGTCCATCCGTTTCAGGGTGATAAGCTGTAGACATCGTAGGCCTAATGTGAAGTTTCTGGCAGAACTCCTGAAATAGTTTGGCTGAGAACTGTGTGCCTCGATCAGATATGATCTGCCATGGAATTCTGTGGAGTTTGAATACTTCGTTGTAGAAAATTGATGCTACTTGAGATGCTGTCACCGTGTCATCTACTGGGTAGAAGTGAGCATGTTTGCTGAATCTATCGATGACTACCAAGATGGCAGTCTTCTTTTCTCTCCTATGGTCTGGGCTTGGTGGTAACTGTGTAATCAGGTCACATGTAACCATTTCCCAAGGCCCCTCTGGTACTGGGTTAGGTTGTAACAGTCCGTAAGGCTTTTGCTTGCTTGTTTTGTTTCTCTGACAAGTTACGCAACCTTGGACATACTTCTTTACATCAATGGTGAGCCCTGGCCACCAGTAATTCCTGCTGATCAGCTCTTGCATCTTCCATCGTCCAGGATGTCCAGCCGTGGAGATATAGTGGTGCAGCTTGATCAGCTCGTTCTGCAGCATAGAGTCTTTTGGGACATAGACCTTTCCTCTTCTGAGCAGCAATCCATGCTCGAAGTTCCACTCTTGGAGGTCTTTTCTGAACTCTCGCTTGCCAGTTTTTAGTAGGTGCTGGTAACCTTTGGTCATTTTGTCATCTTGTAGTGCCGATTTCACTCTTTCTAGAAGTTTTGCATCATCATCTTCGGAGGAATGAGTGGCTGAGATCGCATGAATGGCAAAATATTCAGGTCAAAGCAAAGTTTGCCCTGAATTGTCATTGCTCACCCCCTTCTCATGGTTTGGCCTCCTGGACAGAGGATCAGCACGCATCATCATCTTTCCGGGGCAGTGATGGAGAATAAAATTATATCGGGTAAGGTAAAGTGACCATTGAGCTTGTCATCTGGTCAATGTCTGAGCTTGTCGGAAATAGGTAAGATTAAGGTGATCTGACCATATCTCAACCGGGTGAGGGTGTCCTTCGAAGTACTGCCGGTATTCTTCTAATGCCTGAATAATAGCTAGCATCTCCTTGTCGTAGATTTCATAATTTCGCTCATGTTCATTGAGTGATTTAGAGTAATATGCAACAGGGTGCCAGAGTTCATCTTCTCCCAACTGTTCCAAGACTGCACCGGTTGCGAAGTCTGAGGCATCCATTTCTAGTCAGAAGGGACGTGTTGCATTGGGGAGTGCTAAAATCGGGGCGGAAGTGAAGGCAGTCTTGAGGGCCTCAAAAGCCTGTTGGTGAGATTCTTCCCATTTCCATTGAGCGTCTTTACGTGTTAACAGAGTCAAGGGTCAGGTCATCGATCTGAAATCCTTGATGAATCGTCGATAGAAGTTTGCCAAACCAAGGAAAGCTTGTACTTGCTTTACCTTGGTGGGCACTGGCCATTTAAGCACACCGTCAACCTTCTCTGAGTCCATCTGTATTGACCCTTTTGAGATTATGAGTCCAAGAAACTTGACAAAAGTGGTTGCGAAGTGACACTTTTCTGGTTTCATGAATAAGTCATTGTCTCTGAGTCGTTGTAGGACTTCTTTGGTTAGACGGTTGTGTTCTTCTTGGTTATCTGTAAAGATTATGATGTCATCTATATAGACTGCCACCTTTTCAGTGCGAATGAGATCGCCTAAGACGTCGTTCATCATGGCCTGGAAAGTGCTAGAGGCGTTACAGAATTTGAAGTATATTACAGTGGGTTCAAATAATCCTCTATGGATAATGAACGCTGCTTTTTCCTCGTCTCCCTTGTGAAGGTGCTGTCACGGTTTTACCTGACAAGTCATTAAAAGGAACAAATGCTATTAAGAAGCATATCATTTTTCATCATTTCTCGTCGCACAAGAAGTCACGTGACCTAATGAGATAAGATAACGAGGCATCCAGTCACATGACCTCGGATCCCTCTCGGCATTGTCATGTGACACCGAACTCCTCGGCATAGCGTCATATGTCGCAATCGCCATGACGTCATATTGCGTGCTCAAGAGGAGCTCCGTCTCCGCGGGTTATTATTAGGCAGCCAATCAGGATAATTGGGACACATCGTACGATTGTAGCACCGTCCAGTAGAATAGCGTGTGACTCGCTTATGTAGTACTGTACAGTAGCTAGACAATCATGTATATAAGGACCAGCGAGACGAGGAGGAGACCTCAGTCTTATTCTCCTTCGTCCACCACTACCATCACAGCGGGGTCTTACCAGACACTCGCAGTGTGCTATACATCCTATTTGCATCCTCACCTTGTGATAGCGCCCTCCGCCTCGCCAGTAAGTCATACTCTGCGACTAGCACTCGGGCCTCGTCAGTGGGCACGTCGTATCGCCACAGCTCGTCGCTGTAGGCTCTTAGCCAGGAGACCCTCAAGGGGTTTCTATTTTGGTTGTCTATCTTTGTCATCGGCGTGCCGTGACATTAGAATAAGACTGACCTTTTACGCCCCTACCAAGTGTCTAACACTGGTAGCCGCGCATTTTCGCCCAGAGATACATCGGCCCAGGGCAGGGCTTTTTCCACACCACTTCCCTCATATACTTCCTCCGCGTCTCTACCGCCTAAGCCGCTTCCTTCCTTCAAAAGGAACAGCGCTGCAGTGACCGGTAAAGCGCCTCAAGTACACAACGGTATCGTTCCGCCCAACGGACGCTACCACCCGTACCAACGCGATCCTCGTCGCACGCACCGTCTAACGCAGGGAAACCTCGTCCAAGCGAACCTCCCACAAGCCAGCTCACAAGGCATCACAGCTGAGCGTCGCCAACAAGCACGCAAGGTTAGCCTCTGGCTCGAAGGCATTCCAAGAGACGCACTTACCCCGCTCATTCCAATTCCCCCCGCTCATCCCTACGCTACATTCCCCGCCATCGACGTCCTAAACTTCGCACTCTCAAAGAGCTACCATCCGCGAGGGATTCACGAGAATCCTAAGGGCACTCTCCCTGAGAATATTGCACCCACTGTATACGCTACCATTCAGCGATACAAAGTCTTGCAACAGCCACACATCGCGGCCAAGTTCACCGAAGAACAGTTGAAGTGCCGAGACCGAATTCTTCGACACCTATCCATCATAAACGAGCGCATAGGAGCCGGGCACGATTTCACCTTCGTCGATAGGCGCATCGCTATCAAGCTTTGCGTAGGACTAGGGAAGATTTCCTTCAAGGGAATCAATAAGGAGCAGGAGCGCGTAGGCAAAGAGATAGTGAAGTTTGAAAAGGAGTCGTGCTACTGGCCTTACTAGGACCAGTAAATATTCTTTTGTACCATCGCGAGTAGTTTATGCCTCGATACCAAATCGCTTTCGTATACCAAAACTACATCGTGGATTTCTACCGCCCGGCGCAGGGACAACTCACAGTCATCTGCACCGCGTATTTCATCTACCAACCTCTCGTCACCAATTGGCAACAAGTACTCTACCATTACACGGTACAAGTACACGGCTACACCACCTACTCGGCACCCTTCCAGCTCATTCCCGATCTTGAGGAAGAGCGAGAATATTGGCACGACCGAGCTGAAGCTCTACGAGAGGAGTTAGAAGAAGAAGGACTCATCGAGGAAAACCCCGAACCCTTCTAAAGGTTGAGAATTGATCGATTAACACATTGTCCGTCACATCATTCCCATTATCCTCGACATCGATCCCCATGTCTCAATACAACCTTGGAGGCGTCTCGTTCCCCGGAGGACACACAATGAGTGAGCCTGCTGACCCCTGGAAGAGTCAGGCCACTTCCACATCATCTGAAGCAGGACCAGCTGCCCCTGCTGAAGAACCACACAACAGCAGCACACCCAAGGCGTCGGGAGTAGTCAGAAACCCATCACCCACTACCCTGCCAGCATTCTCCACACCTCAGACTTGGGAATGGCAGGGAGTTCCCTATGCAACTGTTGAAGAAGCCGCCAATGCCGCGGCCCCCGACACCATTCCAAACGACGTCAAGGAATGGGTAATGAACGTGGTACGGTCATTCGTCATGAGAGACGTTGTAAGCTCGTACGAGGCTTTACGTCAAAAAATGGATGAACGTCATGAGCGCACGGTGGCCTCATTGGAAGCAGAAGTACTGTCTCGTATTCACGTCGAAATAAGGACGGAAGAACTAACCGAGCAGTAAAAAACTGCCAGAGCCCAAATTGGCACCCTCTCCGCCGACAACGAGCGGCTCATTAAGGCAAACAATACTCTGATGCTCGAAGCCCAAGCAATTCGCAAGGACTTCGAGGATTATAAGGACGAAGTAAAGGGTCAGATGGACGCCCTTTACGGCAACATGGTCGCCCTGAAGGAGGCACAGGAAAAGACCACTACCTATATCGTTGGCTTAGAGTCTCAGCTCAATAATGCCATCATCAACGCCCCCACAGGTATCCTACCACCGGCCGGCCAATCTAGTCAGTCGCCCCGCCGAATTAAGCTCCCCGACCCTCCCAAGTACTCGGGAAGAAAGTCGTCCGAAAACTTTGAAACTTGGTTCACGAACCTGCTCATCTGGCTCGATTACAACCACTTCACAGACGACAAGGACAAAATTCGGCAAGCCAACGCACATCTGGAAGGCGGAGCTGCTCTGTACATGAAAGAGTACGCAATCAAGCTCGCCTCCGGACAAGACGTTGGCACATGGGCAGAATATACTAGGAAACTAGAAATGGCATACAAGACGCTTGACCCCAAGCGCACGGCACAATCTTTGCTAGATGCACACTGCGCAATCCGCCACAAGACAATGATTGCCTTCGCGGAGAATTTCAGGGCATACGCCCCCGAATCAGGATACTCCGACGAAGACTTAATCATCAAAATCAGGGAACAACGGTCGACCCATATTCAAACGGTCATGTCGGTAACAGAGACTCTAGATCCCTCCAAGATCTCAACCACTTGGATGGACTACCTGGAATTCTGCCTAGAGATTGAAATCAAACATCTCCAGCAGATGACAGGCGGGAAGTCTACCGGACAAACCACTGGAAACAAGGCGACCGCTCCTAAGAACCCTAATGCAATGGACACCAGCGCACGAATCGCACACGAACTTTCCTCGGAACAAGACAGGTGGCTGGCAAACAAGCTATGCTTGTTCTGCGGAAAGCATGCCTATGAACGAGGAAAGCGGTGCCCCTCCCCCAAGCCAGAATACAAGGGAAAGCGGTTTCAGACACGACCCGCTCCGAAGCAAGGGCAAGGAAAAGGGAAGGGCAAAACATCGAACGTGCGACAAGTTGAAGAAGAAAGTAGTGCGGGCTCATCAGCTCAAATTGCAGCACTGGAACAAGCAATTGCTGCACTTCGCGGGATGAGCACAACCTCGACTACAGCACCGTCCAGCAAGGGCAAAGGCAAAAAGAGTGCGGACACGGCATCAATGGCATCGGCATCAACGGTAAAGGACACCAATGCGAGAATCGTCGAGATAGACGAATTCTCAGAGGATTTTCAATACGAAGTGTAGACGAGTCTGGTGTCACACTTCAGGACAATTGTATTAGTACCGTGAGAACGAATGTACCTAGCGATCATCTATATATTGCATCCGCAGGTTTCTCTAAACATTCGATCGAATTGCCGATAAGATTCGTATCACGGGAAATCCAGACAACGGCACTACTGGATTCTGGAGCATTCTCCTGCTATATCGACCAAAGATTTGCGGAGAAGTATGGGTTTAAGATGATACCTCTAAACCAAGAAATCCGAATCCTGAACGCAGACGCTAGCCCCAACAAGGGTGGCGCGATTACTCATCGTGTAGTCACAAGCATCTTAATCGGGAAGCACCGATCAACCGAGAGTTTGCTCGTCACAAACCTTGGACGCATGTCAATGATCCTTGGCATGAAATTTTACAAGAACACAATCCCCGAGTTGACTGGGAACATAGAGAGGTTACGTTCTCAAGATGCAGACACACGAGGAGTCAACAAGTCAAAGTATGCGAAGAAGAAGTCAACCTTCTATCGCAACCTCGACTTGAAGATGAGGCGATTCTTCCCGACGTACACATGGATGACGGGTGGGATCAGGAAGATAACTTCATCAACTGGATAGACTTGCAAGACCAGGATCTTCGTAACATGGTGCACGACATCCTAGGCATAAGCAAGAAGGTAAAGGAGCATTTGGTAGAACAGCCGGCAGAA